GTGGGCTCAATAGTGCTGATGAAAATGGCATCAAATTCCATACCTATTCAGGGGGAACATCTTTACCTTGCAGCAAAATTACTTTAGGGTGTCACACACCTTGGATGAGGTAAGTTGGTATGACTGTGACCTCACAAGGTTTGTCACGATTCAACCCTTTCTTTGTCACCTCTTTCCTAAGTAACTCAACCTGTGAAGTTGATTTAAAAGTAAAAGTTACTGGGTAGTGTACAGATATAGCTACCCACCTGTTTCCTTGCTGAAGCTAACACCACCACTTTCTGTTTTGGATAACTTCTTGGCCATTGGCTGACGAAACTCTCCAACTTTTCCACGAGCACCCTTGCCTCGTGCCTATCCTCAGCTGGTAGATTCTTGGAGTTCTTGTCGATGCTGGTACAGGTGAAGACCAGTGGGTAGGGAGCCATTGGGTGTGTCTCACTGGAGCTCCGACTGAGGAGAGTGTGCTGGTAGAAGAGACTTGAGGTGAAGGCCAGGATACTGGAGTGGCAGCGGTAGTTGGTGAGAAGGGACGCTGTGTGATTATTAATTTCGCCCCCACTCGTTTTGGATTTGTACAAGTTGAAGAGACGCTCCAGCAGAGATACACCCAATTCATACTCCTGTGCCAGCTCACTCAGGACAGCCACTTTGGGACCACTCTGAAAAATAGATAAATAGCTACGTATGACACCATTAAACTTCTATAGATTGATCATAACAGACCTGTTTATGGTCTCCAACAATTACGACTTTTGTTTCTTCCTTGACTACTGCCAGAGCACCAAGTGACTCCGCCTCTCTGGCCTGGGCTCCCTCATCAATCAGGATGTGGGAGAAGTGCAGTTGTTGATGCTTTGTCTCCTTCTTCTTTAGGTTGGTTGCCGTGAGGAATGTCGTTACAATCACTTTTTTCTTAAGCAGAACATTGATGCCAGTATAGCGTTGCAAATATACTCCAAGTTGCTCGTTTGTACTTTGTCTGCTTGCTGATAAATCATACCGAACACCCTGTGCAACTTGTGGATTGGGCACTAAACGCATTATGCAGTGGCGATAATTTTTGAAGAGAATTTTGTATATGCTATTGGCACACTGATGCTGATAGGTACAGACCAGTATACGGGACTTTGGGTCACATAGCAATGCAGAAACTGTAGCAGCTAGGATTCGGGTTTTCCCAGTGCCAAATGGACCGATAACTAGAAATGGAACTCTGGGATCTGAGGATATCATTCTCTGTAGAGCATTTATTTGATATTCCTCATCCAATGTGAACTCGTTTAGTGCAGCTTTCTCTGCACCACTTAGTGTTTTCCCGGTTGTATATTGCTTCAGCAATTTTTCATTTGGAAAAAGCTTGCTCACTGCATGACTATTGAGATAGTTTACAGCTTTGTGTAGCCCATCAAAATAGATGTGTTTTATTCCAAAGTGCACATACATAGGTTTCTTTGGCAATGGAGGCATTTTTACATTTGGTAAATGCAATAGGAGTGCATCTTCTACGGCATCCCTTTGAAAAACATTGCATTCAATTTCAGATTGGCCCAGTGGAATGTGCACTACAGCATGACCATGGACAGCATAATCCATGGCAGCTCCTTCCATTCCATACAACTTTAGCATTAACACTTCTTCATCATTCCAACGATCATACCACTTGTGCTGCTTTACTGTGACCATGCCATTGCACCTACATGTGTGTTTACACAACATTATGATTTTAAGTTAAACATGTCATGCGTTTCAACGAAAGACACAAACAAGTAATAGAACAGTCTGAAACTCACAGAGTTGCCATTGTTTGGCAGTGTGCTATCTCATCCAGGCATATAAGGTGATGAAACTTGTTGACGTAATTTTGAGAAGAAAGCTTTTGGTCAATTCCGACCTGAGTAGCACTCAACCAGACCTCATGGGGCGTGTAGCTGTACCTCTCCCTGAGGGCACTGTAATTGGGAACCTACATGGGGTGGAATTGATAACTTTTAGCAGGATGCATCCAACAAATGGTGTATATACCTTTTCAAGTACTTTGTGAATCAAACTCCACTTCCAGTACTCTAGTTCCTCGATGGAGTGGGCGTTCTTGCAGTTGACTTCATCGGGACAGCCTCTTGGCTGCTTCATCTTCTCACAGAGAGTAAGCTCCTGGGGGGAGCACCCTGATAGGCTGCACGGGAGCTCCAAAACTTCGACCACTTCGTGATCATCTCCAACTATGAGCGTTACCCCCATTTCACCCTCGTGCTCTGGGTATTTGGCACACTCCAGCCAGGTTAGCCAGCGTGTGTTGTAGAACGGAGAGGCACCGTTGTAGCACTTGACGCAGACATCTGTCCGGGGACTGGGGGACAAGTCTGGCACGTTGTAGTAACGTTTTCAGTGTGTTTTCTGAGAGAGAGAGCACACATGCATGATACCTTACTCAGGAACATGGACCACTTCACTTACAACATACATACCTTTGAAAACTGTTCGTATGAAGTCCCATGTGTGATACTCCACGTCTGAATGGGGAAAGAGGCATAAACCCCTTTTCGGACAATTTTCCCATGCGTGCCAAGGTGGGATGGGTGCATCTATTCTCTCAAAATTTGCTGGAGGATGTCTCATCTGGACCAGTCTCATTGCACTTGGCTCAATTGAAACAAGTGTCCACCCAATCTGGTGGCGATGTTGGTGTGGTTTGAAACATCTCAGCTTGATGAGCCAGACAGCATGAGGGTTTTCCAGCAGACACTGAGAGCACACCCAGTGCTCCCATGGCATCACCACCTCCCCACCTCTAGCCATCTCTCCTCCCTGTCATGGATAGGGAAGAGTATATGAATAAGTACCGAAGTAAAGTCTTACTACAACAGTTTAAAGTCAATGACATATAGATGTATTTCAGGCCCTTCAGCAGGCCTTTTCTAGTAAGCATTCCCAATGCAGTGAATACCCTCTCTATGGTGAGCCACTAGCCAATGACGTACCCAAGAACTACTGTATACACTGGTACGTATCTCTGAGGCAATAGATAGTAGCAATAGTATCCACAACTACAGAATAAAAGCCTGAAGAACCAGTCTTCCACTGTAGACACTACCACAATTGTGGAAAATGGTTATCAGATCTGCTGTTTTATAGAGCCTGGGCTACACAGGAAACCACTGAGAAAATTCACCTGTGTACATATAGTGATACAATGGAAATTGTGTATCTATTCATAGACTATGAATTATGTAATTTCACAGGTAACAATAGCCAAATTCTTTGGTAGCTATTTATATAACCTCCAGGTATAGCAGCAGCTCTAAGAAAATTACGTAAGGGAATGAAAGGAATGGCAAGGAATTTGGGGAATAGGCCGTGTTATTAACTCTTCGGAATAAATTCACCTTTGACTGACCATATCCTGTAAACAGTACTCTGTCCATGCAACTAGCTAGTTGGTGTAAGATAGCACATGAGCACCAAACTTGAGACTGAACCATCCTTTTGCAAATACCATGGGGTTTCAACACAAGGCAGTTAAGTGCATAGTGAGCAAAAACATCAAGGACAACACTTTTCAGAAAACCTGCATGGGTAGGGCTCAAAGTCATGACGACACCCTGCTCTTTAGACAGAGTGCTCAAATCTACAACCAAACACAAGCCAATGCATACTCACTACCCAATGCCAGACTGGGGTATATGCAAATCAACAAAACTGGCCAAATTCCAAATCAGATACATGGGTGTAAACCCAAGGTAAAAGTGCGTATCACAACACCCAGGACAACAGTGCATGGCACACACATGGCACATAACTTCTCACATACCAACGATGCATTCGGTTACAAACTGCACTAATAGTATTCAAAAATTTCTTCACGAAATTTGCATCCTACACCAATCAGTGTTTACATTCACAATTGCTCTGGAGTGGACAGAATTAGAACTGGACAAGAAGCAACGAGCAAAATAGGTTTCATCATGCCATAATAGGTTGTGACAAGGTTCATGCTACGTGACTATTATATTGAGTTGAATACCAGTACTGTTGTATATATAGCCACAACGAGTATCACACATACAAAGTCAGTGAGTCATGAGTGGCTAAGGCAGTAGCCACCCCTTGAGAGAGATTCACAGATTACTATAAATCCACTCTTACATACCTCTACTGGGATTCCGCTGACACCTCAACTACAGAATTCTTCCAGGTACTATGAATGATGTGAGCCCACTTCACAAGCAGTGGGGACTGGAGGTGATTGTTAACCAGCTGGCACTGGCAGTAGTACTGGTCAAACCTGATTCCCAAGAGCTGGACACTCTACCTACCACAGAAGACAACTGTCTCTCTTTTATAGCCTTAGCGGGAAGTGGTATGAATCTATTTATAGAATGATTACGTAGTTACTAGGGACTACACCCTGTGTTCACAATCCTATTACTGTGTGCATAAGGGAATCAGCTTGTGTAGCTGTAAGTACCTTCGTAGACAACAAAGAGAGAATAAGTGGGGACTCTACCATTTGGAACTAGGGGATGAACCTGGGGATGAACCTGGGGATGAACCTGGGAGCTGGACATGACATGGCATAGTTGTAGCTGGCAATAGAGACTGAATAGCTAGGGGGTTTACCTTTCTTAAAAGCCAATTAGGGGCAGGTCCCTAGCACACAGGACTCAACTTAATAGCTACAGCTACCTCTGTCTCTCTAGATTGTAACAGGGCACCCGGCAGGTATATATTAATAATAGAAACAATGACTTGTTTTACACGATACCTATACCAGATACCTTTCAGGGTCGGTGGCCTGACAGGCAAGCTAACTATACACAGCAGCCAAGTCTGTCTTATCCTCTCTGGATCATGCGGTATAGTCGCTACTACTGCTGATGTTTGGAGTGAATGCTACAATGAAAGTCTCTCTGCATGTGTGATAACATTATGTTTGTCATTTCCATAAATGGACGCCACTTTCAGTTGCCCAGCATGCGCAATGTAATAGTGCACTAGCGGTGTCAAGGATCAGCATGGTCATTACAAAAAATTAATATCGACCATGAACAAAACCTGTGGCAAATTCTGCACACATCAACTAGAAAAACCTATCAATAACATGATGCAAGTGTTCTTACAGGAATAAATACTAAGTGTTTAGTTATAAGTAGATTTCTAAGTGAGTTAAATCCACTAGAGGAGGCCATAAGCCTCTTTAACTTTCACGAGGAGAGCGTCACAGGTTTTCTTGGCATCTCCCAGCAACATGGAGGTGTTGTCCTTGTAGAAGACGGGGTTATCGACAGCTGCGTAGCCAACTCCAAGACTGCGCTTCATCACTATCGTTTGCTTTCCATTCCACACCTGCATCATCGGGGGAGAGAGAAACAGGGAGACCAGGGTCACCACAATAATGTACGTACGTAAAAGTAGTATTAGTGCATAATTGGTACTTAGTACTTAGTGTAACCCGAACCAGCACAATGTATTGTACATACACACATGTACAATACTACGAAGACTAACCTGAAGTACAGGCATTCCAGCGATGATTGAGTTAGGGTCTTCCTCGGCTGACGAGTTGACGGTGTCGTTGGCACCGACCACGAGGGTGAGATCTGTGTCGGGGAAGTCAGAGTTAATCTCATCCATCTCCAGGACTATGTCATAGGGGACCCCGGCCTCGGCCAGTAGGACGTTCAGCTGGCCTGGCATCCTCCCGGCGACCGGATGGACCCCGAAACGAATGTTCTTCCCCTGTTTGGTGAGGATGTCCACCATCTCCCCGAGCGGGTATTGGGCCTGAGCCACGCAGAGACCGTAGCCCGGGGTGATGATGATGTTCCTCGCCTCACGGATGAGGTCCACGGTACCGTCAATGTCAATCTCCGTGTGTGTCCCTGTAACTTCCTTTGGTTTCCCGCCCTTGTAGTCCTTGGAGACTGTGGCCAGCCCACCGAGGATGACGTTGGAGAGAGAGCGATTCATGGCCTTGCACATGATGTAGGAGAGGATGGCGCCAGATGATCCGATCATGGTGCCCACGATCGTGAGGAGGGAGTTGTTCAACATGAACCCCTCAGCCGCGAGGGCCCAGCCACTGTAGCTGTTGAGGATGGAGATGACAACAGGCATGTCTGCACCGCCGATGGCCGAGGTGAGAGTGACTCCCATGGCGGACGACAGGAGAGCTGTTGTTCCAAGAGCACTCATGTCAGCACTGTAGCCAGGGTTGGTCATGTAGTAGCCGAGAGCTCCCACGTTTGCAAGGAGCATCCCGCCGTTGAGGAGGTGTCTTCCGGGGAGGAGGAGGGGCTCGGATGTGAGGATCCCCTGCAATTTACCGTAGGCAATTATAGACCCGGTGAAGGTGACTCCACCGATGAAGGTGCCCAGGAAGAGGGCGGCTTTGGTGACCGCGGCAGATGGATCGGTCATGAGGTGGGCGTACTCACTCATGTAGGTGGAGATACACGTGAGGACCGCAGCCAGCCCCACGAAGCTGTGGAAGGCGGCCACTAGCTGCGGGAGATCGGCGACAGAAATCTTCTTGGCGATGATGCTACCGACGAGCCCACCTCCTGCGATACAGGAGAGCATCTGTACGAGGACCTCTGGGGACGCACCCACTCCAGCTAGAGTGGCAGTTATTCCCGACGTGACGCCAATGATACCCAGTGCATTGCCCACCCGAGCCGTGGATTGAGAAGCGAGCCCAGTGAGAGCACCGACACAGCAGAGGGAAGCTGCCAGGTAGCCCATCTGCTGGATTTCGGAGAGCCCGTTCATGTGAGCTGCCATGTACCCTCCGAGGAACGCTGCGCCGGGGATGGCAAACAGGTAGTTGTACTCTGGGGGGTCCCCTGGTCGTTTGAACATGTCCAACATCCTCTTGGTAATGAGGAAACCGCCAAAGATGTTGATGGAGGAGATGAAGGTTGCTGCGGCTGCGAGCGCCGCGGGGGAAGTGGTGGGGAGGTACCCTCCACCCATGCACAGGAGACCACCCACAGCCGTGATGCCAGAGATGGCGTTGGTGACTGACATGAGAGGGGAGTGGAGTGCCGGGCTAACACCCCACACTGTGTGGTACCCCACGATGCCGGAGAGTGCAAATGTGGTGACCATGGTATTGAAAGCGGCCGAGGGTGCAATAACGCCGAGACCTAAGATACTACCCATGCCTCCCGTGTACATCATGGCCTGCTTGAGAGTGGTGTTGAAGGGGTTAACTTCCACAACTTCCGCCTTGACGACGGGCACAGGCTGTTGCTGTTCTGGCTTGGCCACCTCCTTTGGAGGGGGAGGGGGCCACATCTTCTCTCCATCCTTTATCACTATGGACCCCCTCACCACCTCATCTTCAAGGTCAATGTGATAGTGGCCCTTCTCACCAATGGCCAGTAGGAACTTTGGAGATGTTGTTCCCATAGAGTGTGCTAGACTGGGTGGGTAACCGACTGGGGAGGTCAGTGTACCCAATATGAGTGACGCCGTTGTGGACTGATAGCTCCCCAGGCACAGTGGTGGCAATGTTTCCACCTGCCTCAGCAGCAAGATCAACCACCACTGACCCGTCTCTCATTGACTCCACCATCTCCTTTGAGATGAGTTTCGGTGCAGGTTTCCCCGGTATGAGAGCCGTTGAGATGATAATGTCCACTTCCTTGGCCTGCTTGGCAAACAGCGCCATTTCAGCATCGATGAACTCCTTTGACATTACCTTGGCGTACCCACCGCTGCCCTCCCCCGATTCCTTCACATTAACCTCTAGAAACTCGGCCCCAAATGATTGCACCTGTTCCTTTACGGCCTCTCGGGTGTCAAATGCTCTCACCACGGCCCCCATGGTTTTGGCCGTCCCGACAGAAGACAACCCGGCAACCCCACCACCGATCACCAGGACTTTAGCGGGAGGGAACCTTACCGGCGGCCGTGATCTGCCCTGTGAAGAACCGACCAAAGTGGTTGGCAGCCTCTATGACTGCCTTGTACCCGGCAATATTGGCCATGGAGCTGAGGGCATCAAAGACCTGCGCCCGACTGATGCGAGGGATGCAGTCCATGGCAAAAGCGGTTACTTTCGCAGCGGCCAACTGGTCGACGAGCTCGCTGTTCTGGGCCGGGTAGATGAAGCTAATGAGATTGCTCCCTGGTCTCATCTTCCCCATCTCCTCCGACGTGGGTGCCCTCACCTTGAGGACAATGTCGGAACCGAAGACCTCTGACAGTGGCTTCACCTGGGCACCCGATGCCTCATACTCTGCATTGGAGAACTTGGCATGCGATCCAGCGCCATCCTCGATCACCACGTTGAATCCTTCTTTGGTGAGGACTTTGACGGCGGCAGGAGAGAGAGCCACCCTTTTCTCGTTGGGGAAGATCTCTTTGGGGACACCGATTGTCAGTTGATTGTAGGGGGTACCCCGCGACGGGGGTGTCGGTGGTTTCTCTGTGTTGGCGACAGTAGCGTCGCACCAGCGAGTGTCGCGTCTGAAGTCTCACAGTGTTCAGGTCTCGTACGGGAGTCGGTCTCCTGGCATAGCGAGTCGGCAGCAGGGAGGAGCGGCCGAGGTGTCGGGATGCGAGGGCTAGCATGACTACTGGAGTGGGCGAAAGCACACCTACGGTTGAATAAACAAAACTAATAATAGTCTGTGTCCACATTTTGAAACAGATTTAGTGGGTATAAATGCGATTAGCACATATACAAGCTCGCCATAGAGTACATTGTGTCTCAATTCACATGTGATCATTTAAGCGTGAACACATTAACACGTAAACGTGAATGCACACACAAAACGATATCCCCTGTAGGATCGCTACACAAGCAAAATGCAATTCTTTCAGCTCCACCATAGACTGAAATAGTGTCAACACATGTATGCCAGTTCAGTAGCTACACAATAGGGGCTGGTACTGATACAAGTCCCACAGAGGCACCAGTGTATGACTCCAGCCAACCCAATACAACGGAAACAGCATTTTTGCACAAGAGTCGGTACGACTCGCCGCTCTGGCCAAATCATGGTAGTCGGCTTATTGCTTTTTGGGGACGGCCAGATAGCCTCCTGTACACACTTGGCAAATGCACACACACACACACACACCTTACCTTGTCAATTTATCCAAGAGTTGTAGTAGGATACCCTTGTCAAACCTGCAGCAATAAAGAATGAAGGAGCTACTTAGTCAGATGCAGCACAAAATTGAGAAATCTTACTCGTCAAGAGTGTGCAGATGCCCGCAGACGGAGGTGTCTGGGTTTCAAGCTACCAGATGAGCCGAGGAAGGGCTGGAGCTCTGCCTGTGTAGCCGTGCTGTGGGCAGATGGACGAAAGAGAAGGCACATTGGCTCAGATAGCGATGTAACTAACAAGTATGCCGTTAGTATGGTCTTAGATATAACATAACAGACTTACTTGACTATTACACTCACCAGAGCTTTCCTTTCTGCCCTCTGCTGGTAGAGATGTTCGCACACTGGGATGCAGTGTAAATTCAAGACGAGCGAGGTGGGCGTGCCGGTCTGGACGTCTGCCGCGAAAAAATTTCCGCCCACGTGCGGGCGGGGGGCGTGGTGTTTTATGACCGAAAATTGCGCCTGTTGCGCTTATTTAGAGAAGAGTCAAAACAGCCAGTCATGGATGCCAACACTTTCACGCGTTGCCAGGCGTGCCACTGCAGAACAGAAGAGCTAATAAGATGGCAGGTGTCGAGACGACGAAGGCGAAGGTGGTATCTTTCCAAAACTTCAACCCAATAGCGGTAAGTCGTTCAATCTACTGCAAAATAACGTGTTCACCTTCGCTCCTCGCCCTCCGCAGCTGTTAGCTCTATGTCTGCTGTTACTGGGGCTGATCGTGGCTGCAGTGGGGACTGGTCTCGCCCAGTGGGCGAGGTTTGAGACGGAGAGAGAGTTTCCTGACGATGCCCGTAGTGCTGTCAACAACGGACGAACATACAAGACTCAGGTATGCTTACTACCAGTCCACCTGCTCCCAACTACAACTACAGACCAATACCAGAGTGTATGATACAACATGTATGCCGTTTCAATAATACCATCGTACATAAAATCGACCCACAAGTGTAATGGACTGTACATGTCTGTCTCTGCCAGGGTCTGTTGAAACGGTGCATAGAGTATGAATATGGGCAGGAGCTGTTGAACCTTGGACTCCCGTCCAGCTCCCTGCCGCAGGACAAGTGTATCTACATGACCGACCTGGATTGCCTCCAATCCCTCACCCCTCTAATTAGTGCTCTCGACCTCCTCAACCATGCCGAGATTAACAACATTGACAGTAATTTCCGTTGCATTGAGAGTAAGTAACTGTTTCTGCATTTGTTGCACGGTGTGTGCTTGTGTGTAAGCATGTCACATACTGGTGTACGGTTTCCTCTTTGAAAAGATGTTGGTCAACCCAAATGAAGTTGGCGCAGGTCATAACTTCTCCCTGCTCCCATTGTACTCTGCTTTCTATACATCTTCCCTACAACTTGTGCTATACTATGCTCAGTTATTAAGCATGAGGCTGGCATTTTATCCCTAAGAGACCCAAAATTCTCTGCATCTTTACATGTAATGCTGATACAGTTCCTCTGTATGTAGTTTGATACGACATTTAAACCGCATACCATGAATGTGTGCGATGTTTCTCCATACCCTGCGGGTGTACTGGTGTCTGTTTCCTCGCATCCTCCCATGGCCTCTGTTAGTATCAACACCAGACACCCAGTGGACACCCACTGTACCGTACCATGTATTTGCTGTGAATGTGCTGTTTATCTATGCATTCCACTGTTACCCATCAAATTGTTTCGTTTGTGACTAATCATAGAGTATTTGTGACATGTTCATCTTTATCACACTCACCACCACCACCACCCTTGCACACACTAGTGAAGATTCGTCTGGAGACGGCGGCGGCGTTTATGATCCTGGGAATTATTGCTACCTTTGTGGCCGTGGTGCTTTTCTTCCCATTCTTTCACTGGATCCTCTTTATTGCTGGCTCAGTCGTCTCCTTTGTCTCCAGTAAGACACCCACCGTTTCCTTACCACCCATCATTATAAACACCATATTCCATGTGTGTGTGTGTGTGTGTGAGTGTGCATTAGTAGTTTAAGTCTCCAAACATAATTATGCTGTGTAATATTGTAAGCATTAGCTATGTAATTTAATTGTTTTGTGTGTTTTTCCTGTGGTGTTGCCTCTCAGTAATTAATTGGTGGTTGTGAGAAAGTTCCTTGTGTGTAGCTTAATTTTTGATTGATGTCATATTTGATTGGCATCCTGTCCCTCCTGCAGTCATCCTGCTGATCATTGGCATTGGAGTGTTTGGAGGCATTGAGCAAGACTTTGCTGGGTTTTTCTCCATCGATGGCGGGCCAGCTGACGGCTGCCTCAGCTACGGATTTGGGGTGGCCCTGGCGTCATTGTTCGTTAACCTCATGGGCACCGTGGTGGGCGTGGTCTCCATCTTCTTCCGCAAGATGAAGGCCATGCACAAGAGCAACAAAAGAGAGTAGCCACGAGAATAGACTCAACATTTTTATAGGACTCAGTCATTTGCCACCATCATCAAATTTTTACTCATCATTCCATACATAATTTTGGCGCGAAGATTTTGTGAGCATGCGCGCGCATATCGAGTGTCCGGTTTCTAGCTAAAACTGCACACGTGTCCTGTCCTTAGGTACGTAGGTTTGTCTAGATTCCGACGAGGATGGCTAGTCTGAACTGTTTTGTTCTCCCACTGCTCGCCGCTCTGTTGCTGGCTGCCGATGCAGTAGTCATTGACCTCAACGATGACAACTTCGACCAGGTAAAGGCGAACAGTACTATTATACTTTTATGTGCGCGGCAGGAAATGTCCCCAAGACTAACTATCTGCTGGCCATTGCTTTAGCGAGTAACGTTTGTCTGAAGCTGACAGCCTTAGATTGCCAGTTGTATTGCAAACGGTCCTCGATTTATACTCTATCACTGCATTAGTTCCTGTTTCGTCCTCCTCATTCAGTTTGTGAATGGAGACAAGCACGCCTTTGTCGAGTTCTTTGCTCCATGTGAGTTGCCACACAGCCACAGTAATCATGATCCTATTCACCACTGCCAACTCCTCTCACTATAGAAAATCATGTCCATACTCCCCAACTCCTGTCCATACTTCTGCAATTAGTCCTCCCTTCTTCCGTCTCTCCCTTCCTACTTACTTTGCCCCCTTACTCACTCCTCTCTCCCTTCTTCCCTCCCCCTCTTCCCTTTCTCCTTTCATTTGTCCTTCTCTTACTCCCTTTCTCCCACCTTACTTTCTCCCTGACTCCTCCCCCCTCTTCCCTTCCCTCCCACCTTCCTTCTCTCCCTCTCAATATATTATACCAGGGTGTGGCCACTGCAAGCGACTGGCTCCAGCCTACGAAGAGGTCGGCAAGGCATACGACAACTCCGCCGATGTCCTCGTAGCAAAGGTAGACTGTGATGCTCACAAGTCCGTGGCCCAGAGGTTTGGAGTCACTGGATACCCAACTCTCAAGTTCTTCCCTAAAGGAAGCACTGAACCAGAAGCGTGAGTAAATTGTCTTTGGGTAAATGTCTTGTGTTACTATCCTTGAATGTTAACGTCTCGCATTATTGTACCACTTTTGTTCCCTCTGCAGATACAATGGTGGTCGTTCAGCTGATGACATCATCAACTTCATTAACGACAAATCTGGTTAGGTCGTATGTTGTACGCAACCTCTACACCACACTCCATAACACACATACTGCGTACTGTGGCCCCAATTAACCTTGCATCGCCTGTATATACTAAATCTATAATACTGTTAGATAACGAATTTTGTCCCTCTTTGAGATTCAAAAATATTGCTGCCTTTAATAGTGTGTTAGTTGTTAAACCCACCAAGTTGCACCAGTAAAATTATAATTTGCGTGTTTGACGTGTCAATTCACTGACAGGTTCTCGTGGACGTATGAAGAAAGCTACCAGTTTTGTGGTGGACCTCAACAGAGAGAATTTTGACACTGTTGTAAAGGACCCCGCAAAGAATGTGCTCGTGGAATTCTATGCACCTTGTAGGTCACCACACACACTAAAAGTGCACACGCAACTCCTGCCCATATGAAAAATGTCTCTAATTCTCTCTGCTCCAGGGTGTGGTCACTGCAAGGCCCTAACCCCCACCTATGACGAGGTGGCAGCTACCTTCAAGAATGACGAAAATGTGAGCAACAGTAATACTGTATTTACTACAAATGTTTCTCTTGCCCTAAAATACTTATGGGAACCTGTAGGTGTATTACTAAGGAAAGCCTGGGTCCAAGGGTATATACTGAGAGACAGCTCGAGTTTGAACTGACGGCATTACCTCATTCACTACTTAGAGACTGTGTGCATGTTACATAGCTCACTCTGGATGGAGCTCTTAAAGAATCTTATTTATCTCTTGTGCAGTGTGTGGTGGCCAAGTTGGATGCTGACGGATTCAGGGATGTGGCTGAAGGGTAGGTGTATGGCGTGATAACAACCACCATCCTATACTGTATACGATAAGCCAATAGTCCTGAGAGTAAATGTATTTAGTTTTCATCTTATCAAAGTGTACTTCGTGAGGTTGTAGATGTGCCTGCATTTCTCCTACAGCTATGACATCACGGGATTCCCCACTATCAAGTATTTTCCTGCCGACAACAAAGACGGAGAAGACGTGGGTTGTCATGTTCTGACTCTCTACTCTTACCTTCTGACACTCTTTGCTAACACACCTAAACACTTCAGTACGGAGAAAACAAAGTGTGTGGGATGAATTTTTCACATGAGTTCTGGGTGGTTCAACTGTACTGAACATTCTCTATGAATATATACGCAAGGGGAACTGTGTAGGATACTTGTACTCTAGTTCGGAGTGGTTCAACTGCATCAAACCTCCTCGAACCTTCTTGAACCTTATCTATAGGTTCGGTACAGTCGAACCACACCGAATCCATGTGAAAAACCTTGTTTTCTTTGCAATGAAAGAAGGTTCGAGGAGGTTCGCTGCAGCCAATCAACTCCGAATAAGCACACTATTGGTAACTTAAGCTTTACGTGTTTGTTTAATCTGCATGTGTAACTACAAGGTAGAAAGGCGAAGGCACAACAAACAAGTCATCTACACCCAGGACAGCTCTTTTTTCCAAGCAAAAAAGAACTGCCCTGGTGAGATTCGAACCCACGACACTCTGCAGTCTAGGCGAGTGCTCTACCAACTGGTGCTGCTCGTATGACTGAACGTGTGGGTGTCATCACATCTGCAACCACACACAAAACGCAAAAAAACGCCTCTAATTGCACAAACGCTAGAGTATACTGCATTAGAACCCTAAACTATCCCCCCCCCTGAAATGTGTGTGTTGTCGCAGTACGAGCGTGGCAGGGAGCTGGCAGACTTTGTCAAGTTCCTCAATGACAAGTGTGGGACCAACAGACTGCCCGGAGGGAAACTCAACTCTCATGTGAGACCACCACTTAGCTAATGTGTACTGTCTGTGATCTACAGAGTGCTGGGGCCAATATTATTTTGTTAATTACGAAGATTACGTGTGTGCGTGTGCGTGCGTGTGTATAGCGCCCGGGTTTATGTGCAAAAATAGAATTTCCCCCCCACTGGGAACACTATCTAGGCAGTGTCTTGTGTAAATCTCCTCAACTAAACCATCCAGTAGCAGTAGATAGGCTTCAGAGAGCCTCTGTAGAGTGATTTGGCATGCATGTGTACACACACACACACACAGGCAGGTGTAGTGGAAGACATGAATGGACTGGCATCCAAGTTCATGTCAGAGGAGGAGGCTCGAGGTGAGGTTCTGTCTGAGGCTGAGGGGGCCGCCGAGAAACATGAAGACTCACAGTGAGCCAGTCCTGCCTATACTCTGTCTGTGTCTCTCTCTCTCTCTCTCTCTGGCTCTCTGTCTGTCCATCCATCCATCTGTATATTCTCCCTGTCTATCTTATTAGCTCTCCAGGTCCATCTGTCTGTCTACTCTTCAGTGTATCTGTCTCTGGCTCTCTAATCATTTTGTCTTTCTGTGTGTATATATCTCCCCCCTCTAACATAGGGTCTGTCTGTCTATCCCTTTGTCCTGTCTCTCTCTCTCTCTCTCTCTCTCTCTTGCCCAGAGCCATGTACTATGTCAAGGTGATGAAAAAGGTTCTTGAGAAGGGAGCAGACTACGTAAAGACAGAGTATGACAGGCTGGGGCGTATCCTTGGTGAGGTTCTTCGTCATTGATATCTCGTCCCTTAGTCCACTAGCAAGTGTGACGGAAAGACATCCCTAAATGAGGGAGGACACCTTTAAAAAGCACCTGCTGTTTCCCCCCCCAAAACAGATTTCTAACCCCGGAAATAAGGACTCTTCACTGTCACTTTCTTCCATCCAATTTGTGTCCAGATTAGAGGAGTTCCACTGTTCTCTATATAATTATTATTCTCTCTGTGCAGGTGGTGATGTGAGCGACAACAAAGCTGATGAGCTGACCAAAAAGCAGAATGTTCTGAAGAAATTTGAACTCTGACTCTAGTGGATGCATTTTGATTTTATGGGTAATGTAGTTATTATTAAAGTTCATTTTGCAGGACCCAAGGGGCATATGCATACAGTCAAACAGTTATTAACCCTCGGCGCGCATGCGCAGCGAGGGTTACAGTAGTTACCCTCGGCGCGCATGCGCAGCGAGGGTACTGTAGTTAACCCTCGGCGCGCATGCGCAGCGAGGGTTACTGTAGTTGGGTTTGTCTGTCTGTTACTCTCAATCTCACTTCTCGAGTGTTTGTTCGTCTCACAAGGGATATGATCTACTTAACGGGCAATGAAGGTCAGAAATTTCGAACGGTTTTCTCTGAAAGTGCTCCGTTGCAAAGCTAGAGCGCTTCCAGCATTGTATGGCTAATGCCGGTAGTCGCCATTTTATCGCTGGTGGATAATGCGCATGCGCTTATATTTAGCACAGGCTTACCTACCTCGACCGGGTCCGCTTGCTCTGTCTATCTTGAAGGCACAAGAAGTCATAACGAATGGCGTGTATCGACTCTCGCGTGCTATCTACTACTGTAGCTAGCCCGTGTCAGACTCTCTGCGAGCTACTTCGCCGAGGGTCTGCACTTTAGTGCTTTTCATTGGGTTTGTTGTGTCTGTTACTCTCAATCTCACTTCTCGAGTGTTTGTTCGCCTCACAAAGGATACCACCTACTGAACGGGCAATGAAGGTCAGAAATTTCGAACAGTTTTCTCTGAAAACGCTCCGTTGCAAAGCTAGAGCGCGAAAAAGCCAATATGTAAATACACAACGGCTTACTACGGCATGATCGATCCGCGTGCTCTGCGTACCTCGGAGGCACCAGAAGATGCAACGCAGGGCGTGTATCGCCTCTCGCATGCTATCTAGTAGTGTAGTTAGCCCGCGTCAGACTCTGCGCGAGCTGGCAAGAGACCACGAGTAACAGCTAAAACTAAACCCAGCCCATCAATTAGTGGTACGGCGCATGCGTTTACTTACGCGTGCGCGTCACAGTGCGCCGAGGGTTTGCCACTGGTCAGTGACTTTTCATTGGTTTGTCTGTATGTATGGCGAAGAGGTGATTCGTGACTATCTAAACTGATCGACTGATGTGACGAACCCGTTTTGTTCCGGCGGGAGGATTGGGCGTGTCTCGTTCGAGCGGAGGCGCAGTGGTTACGACTGTGGAGTGGCGTGTCTGCGTCGAGAGGAGGACAAGTGTAAAGCAAGTGGAGACGGAGCGTGCCAAGTCGAGAGGAGGAGGAGGCAGAGTTCTTCGTGTGGAGAGGCGCTATACCAGCCGTCGGATTCCCGAACGCCTCCGGGATTCAAAGGCAAGGACGGCGTTACTACAAGAATAACTCCTAGGATGGCTATTCATACACGGGCTAGTATGGCTGCACTTCAAGAGCCGCGCACCGCGCTCTCAGAAGCTGAAATGCTGCAGCTGACAGGTCGCACTCACCAGCTGACTCTAAACAGGTCTGACATCGGGCTCTCACGACGCGTGTCCAGCGCCGCATAAACCGCGCCCTCCCGCTGAACGAGGACCCGCCTTCTCCACACTTTCGCGCTCGACTCTCCCTTCAAAAATTGCCTCTCCTATCGACGAGACACGCCAATCACTCGTAAAATACGCGACTCCGCTCGACGCGACCACGCCTCTCCACTCGTAACGTTAAAAACGCCCGCCTCCGCTCGACGATCACTCACGCCTCCTCCAGACGAACAAAACGGTTCGTCACATCGTCGAATTTTGGCTGTTTGCTTTGAATCACCTCCACATTGTCTGTGTGTCTGTCTGTTACTCTCAATCTCACTTCTCGGGTGTTTGTTCGTCTCACAAAGGATACGACCTACTTAACGGGCAATGAAGATCAGAACTTTCGAACGGTTTCCTCTGAAACTGCTCTGTTGCAAAGCTAGAGCGCTTCCACCGGTAGTCGCCATTTTATCGCTTGCGCATGCGCTTATATTTAGCACAGGCCGGTTACCCGCTTGCTCTGTCTATCTTGAAGGCACAAGAAGTCACAACGAATGGCGTGTATCGACTATCGCGTGCTATCTACTACTGTAGCTAGCCCGTGTCAGACTCTCTGCGAGCTACTTCGCCGAGGGTTTGCACTTTAGTGCTTTTCATTGGGTCTGTCTGTCCGTGTGTCTGTTACTCTCAATCTCACTTCTCTAGTGTCTGTTCGTCTCACAAACGATACGACCTACCTAACGGGCAATGAAGGTCAGAAATTTCGAACAGTTTTCTCTGAAAATGCTCCGTTGCAATGCTAGAGCGCTTCCGCCATTGTACGGCTAATGCTAGTCGGCCATTTTTATCGCTGTGGAAAAGGCGCATGTCCTTGAACAGGCTCGGGTCCGCTTGCTCTGTGTATCTTGAAGGCACGAGAAGTCACAACGAAGGGCGTGTATCGACTCCCACATGCTCTCTACTACTGTAGCTAGGCCGTGTCAGACGCTACTAGCGGGAGACCACGAGAATACTACATTACTAATAGCAGCCCAGCCCATCAATTAGCGGTACCGCGCATGCCCATTTCGCCGAGGGTTTGCACTTTAGTGCTTTTCATTGGGTCTGTCTGTGTGTCTGTCTGTCTGTCTGTCTGTCTGTCTGTGTGTCTGATACTCTTCATCTTCTTTCGTCTCACAAAGGATACCACCTACCGAACGGGCAATGAAGGTCAGAAATTTCGAACGGTTTTCTCTGAAAACGCTCCGTTGCAAAGCTAGAGCGCTTCCACCATTGTACGGCTAATGCGTAGTCGGGTATTTTTATCGCTGCGGAACCGGAAAATGCGCATGCGCTTATATTTAGCACAGGACCGGGTCAGGCACAAGAAGTCACAACGAAGGGCGTGTATCGACTCTCGCATGCTAATCTACTACTGTAGCTAGCCCGTGTCAGACTCTCTGCGAGCTATATTATACTAGCGGGAGACCGCATACTAATATACCGCGCATGCGCAGTTCGCCGAGGGTTTGCACTTCAGTGCTTTTCGAAGTAGGCATCTAGAGTAATATTATAGCATTAGCTATGTAATTTCATATTATGTAACTACACTGTAGCTCTTGTCACTTTGTACAATGAATTGTTAGAGGAAATTATTTCCATGGGACAGCAGACACTGTCCTATAATATATATAATAAGATCATGATCATTGGCATCATTGTACATTAGTACATACCTTCTCATTATGCGATGTCGACTGCTGTAAAATTAAACAAGGTGAAAATTTGAGCTTTATTTTGACGTGGTTCGGACTCACTACATGTTAGCTGGCAGAGGTCTTGCTGTGGAGAGCCTGGATCCAGCAGCTACCGAGTACTGAGGATAGATGGAGTGTATGTATAATTATAGCCATGCTCCATGAATAGTGTCCTACCTTCCAGGCCACTAGTGATGGCTGGTTGTCTGAATCTCACTGCCAATCCTGTTATGGCTTTTGAAGAGTATAAACAGAAACACATCATGTAATTAATAATTGAACCTCAGTGCTTTAGTTAGCTAATAAAAGACCTGTGTGTTGCAGAGAGCTGAGAAGAACAGTTGATAAGATCCAAAGTGGCGTTCCAACTCTCTGTGTAACTGAGGCTACAACATCAACCCTATGACATGAAAACTACGTCCCGCTAGCTCTAGCTGTGTCTCACCTGGGTACGTTGAGAGGTGTGTATGTTTTCACTGCAGCATCAGTCTGCCTGCTCAGCAGCTCCTACGCATGAACCAGGATTCCAGTCACAGAGGGATAGCGGAAAAACATAGTTAATCAGAATTTTAGACACGCATTGAATAGCAATCATAACGTCATGAATCTACAATGAAGTCCATGCAGTAAACTCAGTATAGCTAATATATACCCTTTGTTGCTCTTCGTATCTTTTAATACTCTTTCTATTTAATAACTCATGCATTTTCTATGCAGGTAGCTATGTAGCTAGCACCGAGTTACGAAGATGCTTGTATCTATATAGAATTATAGAGGCTGACCTTACAATGCAGTTTCACTCTGGGAGTGTGTAGCGTACTTCTTGCAGTGACGAACATTTCTGACAGAAAAATTCAACAAGAAGTAGGTTAGCACGTTGCTGCGGGAAAGACTAACCTCGGGTACAAGGAGTAGAAGTTCGCGAGTGCTCTTGGGGAAGTCTCTTTGCCACGTCGTCCATGTCCATCCTGCGCAGAGTGGGCAAGAGGGGATGGTAGAGCCCGTGCTTGACGCTTGCCAGCTTCACCGAGGACGGACGCTCGCGATAAAACACTGTCGCCATTTCGGTGCAAAACTGCGCGACAGGGTACGTACATACGCATGCGCACGACACACGCACTGATGATACACCGCTAAAGACAACATTGCAAGTCGATAAACACACAAACAGGAGGTGGAGGAGTGTATATATACACACAATAAAGTGACTAGTGTTGCTTGATTTCTGAAATTCTGTCAATGAACTGAAGAATCTCGGCCACGTTCTTGAGGGTGTCCACTCCTGACAGCAACTCCCTGGGTCAGGGTGACACAACACAGACTACATTCACAGCTGCACCCCAAAAAAAGCTAGCCTTGTACGGTTATGAATCGTGCAATTTGGTGTATTGAGAGGGGATGTACCCCAACGTTTACACATTCTGACTGGCTGGCTTACTATAAAGCTAGGCCTCCAAAGAAAAAAAAGGAGGCCTGGTACACTATGTCTTGGTCTGCCTGCATTGTCTGGGGACAAGGGGTCACCTTGGTAGAATAAGTGGTCTATGTACCTGATGGATTGGTCGGCAGCCATGGCAGCCATGGAGAGCTGTCTGGAGGCATATGTGGCCTTGTCCCTCACTCCCGACAGGGTCTCCTCATAGTGTCTGTGGACACTCTGGGCATCAGCCTGTGACAACATGACCTGTATATATACAACAGGAAGAGATGAACAAACACACCAGTGGCTGTGTGCAATGTGTGGGGACTCGATAATGAGGATACCCCCGGGGTAATTGGTTATTACCTGAAGACTCTGTAACTCTTGCTTTAGTTGGGAAACCATTGCCTCGGCATTCACTGCCCTTTTCTGGTGGTGGACAAATAAACAGTCAAAAAAGAAAAAACCTTTTGTGTTGTTGTTGTAGCTCATATATACAGCTCCCCACATTCACTCTTTACTAACTTGCATAGGGTTCCGAGTGAGTGTGTGTTATATCAGTCTTGTGCATGAGGTGTGCTCTGGATGGATGGTATATACACTCACGGTGGAAGTGACGAGGTTTTCCTCGACTTTGGCAACAATGTCCTCCAGAGCTTTAGTCTCCTCTGCCTCCTTCTTCTTTAGAGCCTGCAACTGCTCCTTCAACTTGCTGTTGCTGTGCACATGGGGAGGGAGAGGTGTGTGGAACATAGTTGTTTGTTGGTGCACCTTAATACGAAAAGAGGAGAGAAGTGTGCATTTGGGATTTTTTGTATCCATGCAGGCTGAACGGGAGAAACTAGTGACACAAGTGTATGATGTAATGATGTACACATATAATTCCATTATGCATGGTTACTTGTGTTTCTCTTTGTGGAAATTTTCTTTGACCTTGTCCAGTTCCTCCTTCAACTGCTTGTTCTCTGCACTCAGCTGCAGAGTCGAACAGTAGAGGTTACAACTATAGAAACTCTCTACAACAGTCTACTGTACAACATGAAGTCTCCAAGGGACAATACTGGTAGAAAACTGATGGAGAGAAAAATTTCGTGGATCGTAGTACAAAATGTTGAGGAGAAAATTTTGCCCAAACCACCAAATTCTTCCCACGAAAGTGTCTCGCTATAATATGGAAGAATAGTGGGAAAATAGTGTGTGTAACCATACCTGTGAGCACTGTTGTCTGAGTGTGTCAGTCTGAGCAGGGTCTACTGTAGCCAGCAGAGAACTGCCCTGGGGGAGACCGGGAGTCACCAGGCCACCACTCTCATCCTCGCTACTGTCAGACAGTCTCAGTATCCCCACACCCTCTCCCTCTGCCTTCCCTCCTCCACCATCCACAGTGGGGAGGGCCAGAGGGTCATCACTGGTAGGAGATAGCAGAGGGTCTGGGCCAATACCCCTGCTGGCTGGTAGAGGGAGACTGCTGTCGAGACTTGTACTGGTGAAACTGTCAGACCCAGAGTCTGAATCGTCAAACAGACTGTCTTTCTCCTTCTTTTTCTGTTTCCTCAAATATTTGTGACCCTCCTTCAGTGAGGTTTTGGTCGGGAATGGCTGGGAAGGTGGGCGAGATGAGGACGCAGTTTTTAGCGGTGGTTTAGAAGCTCTGTCTTTCTTGCTGGTAGTGGAGGGTGCAGGGGAGGGGGAGGGGAGGGAGAGAGGGTGGTCTGACGTGGCGAGGGGGAGAGGATGAGGCTCCAGGCTGTTGGAGAGACTGTGTTCCCCGTCGCTGCTACTGGAGGACCCCTCACTACTACTGGCCCCAGTCTGTGTGGTGAGACAGGGTACAGGAGTGAGTATTGTATCATACTGGTAGAAATTCATTTGAACTACAGCCAAGCAAGTTATACAGGACTACCTTTTCAGTACAGCAGCTACAGAGTTTGCACATGGCCAATGATAACTGTTCACTTTGTCAGTTAGGGTGCATTTGGCCAGACTACTGCTGGAGGGAGGTTACCTGTTTTTTCACAAACTTCTTGAAGGAGAAGGGGTTTTCTCTACCTAGTGAAAAAAGCCACGAATTATGGCTAAGCGAAGTGCTGAATCAGAGGTCGAACCTTCTCTGGGAAAAGGGACACTTCCAGCGTCCTGAGTGGCAGCACTAGGGCGTTTACTCTTTCTACCACCTTCCTTCTTTACCCCTCCTTTCGCTCCTCCATCGACACCAGTCCGCTTTACAAAGGTCTTGAACGAAAACGGGTTGCCTTCGCTGCCTTTGACGTCTCCGTCCGCCGCCATCATGCAAACCACGCCTCTCGTGTGAGCACTTTGACTCTGCGCACGCGCACAACTACAAAAGCCTCTGAAAGGCCGGTTCAGTGAAACCTAATCGAGGGCTGATCACGATGTTTCTCTCGCGGGGGGTTGCGCAGACGGCAGCAGGAGCGAGGCGACTCCTGACTACCTCTGCCGCAGGCTGGGCACCATCTCAGATGCCCCCCTGTGACTTCCAGCCCCAGCCATATACCGTGAGCCGCTGCTCAGCTGTGCATGCTTATCTTCTATCTCCTACACCTCACACGTGTCGTATTAGCCACTGCTGTTGCAGTGCATGTATGTGTGCTACAACTGCAGGGGTTGTCGTATGATGAGACGCGGGCTGTTCGCAAGGAGAATCTGAACCCTGGGATTCTAACCTACTACAAGAACCCAGTTTTGATACACCAGGTGATTGTATTTGCAATACATCACTGCTCTGTTAGTGAGATGTCTCACTGAACCTCACACAGGGACACATGCAGTGGCTGTTTGACCACACTGGAAAACGCTACCTCGACCTCTTCTCTGGTATAGTCACTGTCGGCGTTGGACACTGTCACCCGTGAGCACCATACCTAGCCATACCAATGCATGTTCAATGGTATTTGCAAGATTGGTTCTAAAATTGACCCAGACACACACTAGATCAGTGATACACTTTGCTTGCCAAACCTTGCGAGTGCAGAGAGGAAGCATGTCTTACATAGGGTTTCTGGTTGTGACCAAGGCACATGGACCTACATTTTGTGCTTGATCCATCCAAATCTATTTTGCACAGCATTTTGACCTTGTTGAAGGTGAAGACATGGTTGCTTAGTGTTTATGTTCTAGAAATACAAGGCAGGCACCTCCATTAAATATCGTATACAATCTGGTTCTAACTCTCCCCAGTGTTCAAGGTTTATGGTCAATGACCCTTTTCATTATATACAGGAAGGTGAACAAGGCACTCAAAGATCAGGTGGACAGACTGTGGCACACGACCAACATCTACATGCACCCAACTATACACGAGTATGGCAAGAAACTGGCCTCAAAGTTTCCTGGAAAACTGAAGGTTTGCAGCACCACAGCAGAGTGTTTGCTTGCCTTACAGATATTCCCTCTGTGCTGTGTGTGTGCGTGTGTGTGTGTGTGTGCGTGTGTGTGTGTGTGTGTTTGAGGAGAAAGGGAGGGAAAGGGGGAGAAAGGAAAGTGACCAACACAAACACAGTAAGACCAGAGGCTGGGAGACTTTTGTCAACTTCACTACACGCGGCAGCTCAGTGGCCAAAATTACATGTATTTTTAGATTTACCAGGGTACCCATTTCTGCTTCAGTGTTTTGCGCTTGTGCAGCCCTAGCCTATCACATTGTAATTACACAGTCTCACTCATACAAACACAAAGAGCAGGACATGGATGCCCAGCCTTGAGAACTGGGGACGGTGGGTTAAAGATGGCTAGCCAACTCTCCCCACACATCCAATGTCACAGACTCTCATGCAAAATCTACAGCTTACAGTACTAGTTACAATCACATACCTTAGGTTCTCTGGGGGACTTGCTACTAATGCACAGTGGGGTATTTATAGGGAGTTGTGATGTCATAGGTATGGAATTTCCTAAGGGGGAAGTGGGCTTGTTTCTCTAGGGTCCTGGGTGATGTCTAAGTGTAAAAATGGTGTGTGTCTGTTGTGTATGTGCATACGTATCTCCAGGTGACCTTCTTCACCAACAGTGGTAGTGAGGCCAACGAGCTGGCAGTCTTGATGGCCAGGTTACACACTGGAAATTTCGACATTGTCTCTCTCAGGTGAGATTGTCTCGGGTCCGGGTCTGCCACACTCTAGCCACCACTATAGGCCATATCCTGTTAGACCAGTGGAGTGATGGTTGCAGGATGTTGCTAAAGTAACATTCAGCACGTGGAAGTCGATAATGAGGAAGGCGGAGCTACTTATCTATGCATTGAATGTGCTTGCGGTTTTCCTTGTAGATGTGCGAGTGTGGCTTATCAGTAAAGTGGGGTGCGTTCTCAGCACAAACGTACTTTAGCATAGTCCCCAGACTTATTCACGCAATAGTTCTACGCACCTAATCACCGATGAAAACTAATTGAGATACTTACATATGTGGAGAAACTTTGCTGTTGCTTGTTATGTTTGAGCAGCTAAAGTATAATACGGACGAGTTCTGTGGACATGATATTGCAGCTATACTATAATTATTATGAACCCTGTGCAGGAACGGTTATCACGGAGCTGGCCCATTTGTGACGAGTTTGACGTCACTATCGACATGGAAGTACCCTGTCCCCGGCAACAGTGGGTTCCTACAGGTGAGTCTCCTTGCCTCTTGTCTTGAGAGCTCTTGCGTGTGGAGAAAACAGTATGGTTGAGAGATGTAGGGTTGTTGGTGGCTGGTAATTCCAATGTCAGATATTAAAGTAGAACACCTCTGCCTACTCTAGACTGTCCAATAGTACACTCACACTCCAGCCTTTGTCTGGGGCATCGAG